TTTATATCACTTAACCAATTAGATTTTATTATGATTATCACAACCTTATTATAATTTATTTATGAGATGATCAGGATCAGCCCATACGAAGACTAAAATATTTCGGAAAAATATCGGATTTTCGCCCAAATTACGGAACAAAATTTTCGGATCAGCTCTCAAAATCCGAAACATTTAGGATTTGAAAATAGGGTTTCGCACACAGCATTACGCGATGTATTATTTTTTTTTTTTTATCATATGAACTTTTCAATATGTTTATCTATTAAAAATTTAGGATTATCCTTAATGATTTGGTGAAGAGATATTCAAAGTGTCTTGACCTTAGGTGATGATTACTCTATCAAATATTTCCTAAACCCAACTAATGACAAGTAAATAAAGAAATAGTTTGAGTATTGCACTAATTAATTCGCATTTGTTAATTCATTACCTCCTAATAGTAGTAGTCCATTTCAAGGTTGATCGTTCAGATGTTGTAAGTGATCAAAAATTCGTTTTGCGATCAATCAAAACGGATAATATCGTTTTTGATGGTATCTTCATAAATCTTCATTTTTCATATCTTGACAAGCATTAAAAGAAAAAATAAATTTCTAATTTTTTTTTTATGTTCCGACAATAAAAAAAAAAGAGATTTTTTTTTTTTATTCGTCAATTGTATGAATTTTGATCGTAAATTTTGATTGGTTACTATTGGATTTGACGATCAAATTGCCGATCTGAACAACTTTACAGCTCAGCTAATTTCATAAGTCACGGGACAGCCGATAATAACCGAGACTTTTCCGAGAACATTTATAAGGATTTGAAAATATATAGGTAAAAAATTGTCGCTATATTCGGAACAGATCTGAACGTAGCGATAATGTTTTTTCTTCAAAAAATTCAAAAAATTCTATACCGAGTTTACCTTTTTGTTATCGATCTGCAAATTGATCGTCCTTCCCGTGACTTATGAAATTAGCTGTATATGAAGTAATCGTCTGGATTTTCCTTAGCTTAGCTTTTTAAATTGTTTGATTTGCAAAATGTCAGACATTTGAAATTGTACAATTCCTGAAAACGGCAATAATGTAAACTAATTATACTTCATGATAGGCTAAAAAATAGAACGTCTCGGATATTACGGGTATTGGATAGCGCGAATTTACTGACCAGTACGTTTCTCAAAATACGAAATCGTAACCGTACTATACTTATAATAAAGAGATTCAGAACGGTATGGTACGAATTTAGAAGATTCGTACTGATTTGCTGATTCGTACTTGGTATGATTACAACATCAAACTTTTGTAAAGCTGGTGTATATTTTTTTGGTTTGGTAAAAACTTTCCATAACATAATAATTTTTTTGTTCAACGTATGTTTGTCAAATTAAAATTTAATAAAAATAAATCATAAATAACTAAATGTTGAAAATAATTATTTGTGTTCTTTCATCAATAAACAAATTTTAATAATTGAAATTGAAAAATTAATTTTTAGATTATTATTAAAAAAATAAGATTCGCTTTACGAATAGCGCAATAAAATGATCGACATGATATCTTCTTTCGTACTATTCACGTGACTTGACCGCAAAGTGAATATTAAATTTAAATTTAAAAAATTGATTATTGATGAAATCAATCAATTATATACAATCTTTTTTTTATTTCAGAAAAAAAAAAAGATCATTTTTATTGAAGGACAAATACATTAGATTAAAATAAATTATTGTTTTTATATTTACATTATTTCTTTTTTTTTTTTATTTTAATTAAATTTAATTTGACAAACATCCCGCTGAATCAACAAATTACTCAATTTGTTCGTTAGATCTATTAGAAATTTTAAACTTTTATCACAATTAGAGTTCTGGCGATGATGCAGTTACGAATTTCGTTCTGTACTGATCTACAAGATCGACAAACCGGGCAAAATGAATCATCATTATCACCCCACGTGATTTTTGGCCGCATTAGAGCATCATCAAATAGGATTTTCATCACGGAATTTCGTCTCCAGCGTTGCACGGAAATAAAGTACATTTACTCAAATATATGATTTATTAATACCAAAGTATAAGCAACCTTGCTCAATTGGATATCAAGTTTTCACCCTCCCAACCTTTTACAACATTTGATTTTTATCAACCTTTTACAAATTTTCAAATTATTCGAAATTTATCACACTCTCAACTTTTACAACATTTAAATCTGAAAACTTTCGCAAAGACTGAATTTCCATCATTCTCAGCTGTCAATTCTTAAATCATTTATAGAATCCATTTTAAAAGTTGATAGCACATCAAAATTTGTCGTTTCGTTATGAATTCGTATGTTCTGGTTCGGATTTTCTATCTCTTTAACGTATAAATTAAAAGTTGTTATGATCGAATTTTGTGTGAAAGTTGACATCTTGTCATCTTCTGAATTACGTGGAGTATCAATGTAAGCTCTCAAGGCCGAAATATCTTTAAAACACTCCAAGGTCAATTCTGATTCTATTCCGTAAGTATCAAGTATGTATTTATAAACTTTTGGAGAAAAGATCAAAGACTTTCTTCTTGATTCCATATCGTTCATCTTTTCTTCTTCAAAGTATTTCTTCACAACTGATGTAACAACTTCTTCATGATAATCAAATTTTGATTTAAGAAAGTTCAATAAGTGATCTTTCTTTAAATTCCTTTCTGGTTTTAATGCTTCCCGGAAAAATTCATACCCGAGAATATCGATTGATTCATCGGATCGAATGGTGCGAAAAACATCCCAAAGTAAATTCCCAATTTCGTTCAATCGATCTTCAAACATATGAAGTGCGTCAACGATAACACTATACTTTAACTTGAATCCCAAACCAATAAGATCTCTAATACGTTTAACTACATCAGAATCACTTGGGCAAGTCCAATCAGGCGGAGGAGTAGGTGGAAAGAGGATAAGTAATGCTCCCTGTAAAACCAAGTCATTGACATCATCACATATTTCATAATAACCGATTTGTTTCCATAAAATCACCAAATCGGGGTGAATAAGTATTGCCCTCGCGATTACGTTTAATTGTCTACTATTTTCATAACCATCCTTGGGAGGGTACTCTTCCGGGGGTGGTTGTTGATGATCGTGAGGATCATTATTTGAATCTAACTGAAGCGATTTTGGTCGGGGTGGAAATGGAATGAACTTTTGATTCAAAATCAAATCTTCGATGGCTTTTAAATTCTTAAGCAACACACCAGGAGCTTGAGCAATGACGCGAGGTCCAGCAGATAAAAAATGAAATAGTTCCATGTCATTTCCTTTCAAAGGAACAGAATCTCCTAATTGATTAGATCCCTCATTTAATAAATAAAGGAATACGGGTAAAGATAAATTGCTGGCCCATGGGGATTTAATTTTTTGTTGAAATGCGAATACTCTATCAGCATCAAGTTGATTGACGTTGTGTTCGATTTTGAGATCTATCAATTGTCTATCATACTTTCCATAATGCATTAAAAGCCTTTGTACGAAATATCTTGAAATGATAACCTTCCTTGTAAGTAAATTTTGACATACTGCGGTATCTAGAAAGCTAGGTCCCAATCTTACGGCATAAAATAGAGCATGGGTCCTTCCTGTACGGGATAAAAGCCATTCTGTTTTGGCATATGGATCCTTGGCAATAGCGTTCCAGTTCTTACAAGTAAGAGCCAGATTAAAAGGGTGATCTACGTGTTTAAATATATTGATTTTAATCTCATCTTCGATAAATTGAAGCCTTGGTCTTGAATAATTTGGTTTATAATTATGGTACATAATAATGAAAAATCAAAAGCTTTTTTTTTTTTTTTTTTTTTTTTTTTTATAAAATTTTCTCATATTTATTTTAAATTTGATTGATAAACACTTTAGTCCCGTTATGGGAATCATACAAAGGGAGATGTCAATTTATGTATTAGTCTTACTAAATTAGGAAGTAAACACTGATATGAAGACCATTCAAATTCAACCATATTAGTACAACAACGAGATTAGGCTTAATATCTTTCAAATAATTTCTGTTAATACCACAAAGCTTGCTTTTGCTCGGTATTGTCGTAATTGGGGCTTTGAAAGGAGAAAGGATTTGATAAATGGTATTTATACACAATTGTATTAATTTCATTTATGACGCCACATGATTGAGGATAATCTAGGTTTAAAAGATACTTTCTCCATATTTACTTCTTCAAATAAAAGTCAATAGCAAAACGGACTCCGAAGTCCGTTCTAATTCAGTGTTGTTGACTGATTGTCACACTAAAATTTATTTTTGCATAGCGATCAATGAGATTTTGTTTATTTTAGTTTTAAAATTATTGGTTTGGAATTACTTAATTTAATGCTTTTTAATAGATAACAAAAAGGCAAACTGTCAAAGACAAAAGGAAAAACTGTTACAAATTAATTGCATAATAGTATCAACAATAAATATTTTTTTTGTGCCAAAAAAAAACAAAGACTACCAATTAAGACGAATTAAAATTTATTATTGTGGAACTGGACTGGTCACAGACGTATAATATATCGGATCAATTAAAAATTGAACTTAATTTCTAAACAAAAAATAATAATTTAAAATTGTTTTTTTTTTTTTTTTTACTTTTTTTCTTGTTTGCGAATACAACGTTTCGAAAATAAATATATATCAATCATGATCTGTTTCTTTGGATATTGTTCTTATACAATTTAAAAAATAATATTGTTAAATAAATTATGTTCTTTTTGCATATTCTTGAATGAATATATCAAGTGCCAGTGAAAAGTGCCGGACAGCCAATTATTTGTAACTTTTTGAAGTACGTTTGTGCGCATAATTAATTATGGTATTACGGTATTAATTGAATGTTAATGCCGAAAATAAAACAACAAGGAAATTAAATCTCGTTAAAAAATTTCCAATCTTTATCAAACAAGTTATCATTGAAATTTGAAATCGCATCTTATTTGTACGCGGGCAGTCTTTTTATTTTCGACGATACATTGTCTGCTACAGCGGCCTATATATAATGTAATTATTCATAATACATAATAAAAGAATGAATAGGCTTAACACCGACTTCGATTACATCTTGTAATTTATTCCAAAGTTGCAACTTCACTTTTGCTTCGTATTCAAACAATAACGCTAGCATCAGTTCCTTTATGAATTAGTGTTCTTTTTGAATTGCTCGACCTTACCGAATACTTGTTTTAACATCTCTTTCTGTGTTGATTTATTTTAATAAATAAATTTCAAATTAATTATATTTACGAATAAAATAAAAATTAATTTTATTAATTAGAATCATAAATACAATTTCTCGTCGAAAACTTATATTTTACACCAAGGTTTTGATTGAAAAGATGGTAAATTTTTCTATTGCTTCAGGTAATATGGAACGATGCCTTTTCATTGTCTGTGAAAAATATTTTCTGTTTGCGTGATCCATGGTTTCTTCGGGTATTTATTTAGAAACTAATAAAGAATTGAAGTTACCCGTAATAATTATAACGCTAATACTTTTATACGAGACTTCAATTATCATAATACTGTAATTTTTCGATAGTGAATATGAGTCATGAGAATTCAAATCCAACGTTATAAGAATTAGATAAATAATAGAATAAAAATTCAACATGATCTTGATTCACCTGAATAATACAGAGATATCGTTATTTGCTATATTCTCATCATTATTATGTTCTTCCAGAAGTTATTGCAGTGCTTCAATCCATTGTGTCTTTTGAATCGCTTCGGTGCATGATCTTCCAAATATTTTTCATAAGAATATAATATATCAAAAAAAATCTATTAAATCAGAAATACAATAAATCAATATTGCAAAAGTTCACCTTTGCAGATCGTATGATTACAACCAGCTGTTTGGTTCGAGACTAACCATTTTATACGCTATCATTTACCATTGTTCTGACGCGGTCGAAGTTTCGATCCTATATAGTATATAAAATTCATTATTTAAAAAAATTTAAAGAAACGAATAATTCCGATCACAACACTTTGCCAGAGGATTATAATACAATTAATTTCAAGAACTTTCTGTGGATAATTAGAATAAATATAGAATTCTTACTAATTGGCATGCATGCGACTTTTTGATCTATAGTCCAACACGTTACCATATTGTTGCTAACTATAGAAATAGAAACTGGATTCATTGATTTTTTTAAATTAAGTTAATCAAACGTTATGAAAATTTGCTCGATTCTGCGAATAAGGGCTGCGCTTTGTATTACAAATTCTTCTTCGAATCATTAAATTTAAAGTTCAAATTAAATTCGAATTACAAAATAATTCATATTCGAATAATTCGAATAATTTGAATTATTAGATTAAAAAAGGTTGATATAGATTTTCGCGACAATAAAAATTTCATTAAAAAAAAAAATAGAGTAACGATGCGAAATTTCGTTAAAAAAAATTCATGTTAAGGTTTTGCGAGATAATTAAAAACTTGGTTTCAATAACGAATCGTAAATTCATTATCTAGTAGTAATCTTAATAGGTTTTGAAATGGAAGGTAGACTGTTTAAAAAAGAAGTAATGGTAACAAGTCCATAGATGAGATGACAGAATTAGATATCTAAGTTTAAATTTTCTTTAGTAATTTGAATTGATATACCAAGTAGTTAAGTACAATCAGTTATTGAGTTGTATAAGATTACAATTTTTTTGTTTAGTGATATTAAGTTTCAAAGAGCATACGAAGGCATTACCGAGACTTTCTAATTAATAAAGAATAGGTAATTATTTTAGGATCAAAATCATAATACAGATACATATATCTACACTAAACAAATTTTGCTGTCTTTTCAGAAATGCCAAAATTGGATTCATCATATGCAACATTTTTTGAATAGCAAGGTGCTAGCCGAAGGATTACTTTGCCTACTTATGGTATTGTCTAATGAATGAAAAATTATTTCAGATGTGAATAATAAAAGATATAAATAATCAAAAAAAATAGCATCTTTATATACGTACGGGTTGTTTAGCTCAATTGAGAATCGATATTTATGTTTTATCGGTTAGAAATTCATGGCATTTGTTCATCATTCGATTTTCCTTCATGCGATGCTTGATTACCGACAGTAAAACAAACTGGCACAAATATCGATCTAATTTAAAATTTTAAATTCTTTTTCCTTTTTTTTTTTTTTTTTTAAAAAAAAAAGATAATTACCTCTTTACTGTCGCGTAATCTAAATGCTTGTTACTGTATCTTTATGTCTTAATAAAGAAAATAAAAAGCAAATATAAGCCATAAATAATTGCATTTATTACCTATCGCATCCGAAACATTAAATCTACATGATGTACATTAGACAAGTATCCATGCCTGTGTAAATTACATATTATATAATGTAAATTAAGCAAATTAATTTTAAATAACTTACCTCATTTTCCGACCGCAAGACTTCATCAGCTTTGTCGCTCCTGCCACTATCTATGAAAATTCAATCATATCATTTCTTGTTTGGAAATGAAAAAGACCGACCGATTTACATAATATTAATCGCCTAACCAAACTTTGGTTAGTAAAGGAATTCATATATAATGACAAAATAGTATTTAGTTATGTTTATTGATTAAGTAATTTTATGTTGTTAATGCCGAGAAAAATTAACAAATCACTTAATTAATGTTCCAAATTACTTTAAGTTAGTAGATTTATGTTTAAAGAACCTGTTCGACTAATATATCTAATTTTATTTTAATGAAATTAAATACAAAATTTTGTTTAAAATTTTCCCACACGAGAACTTGTTTTAACTATGTTTGACTAATGTTATAAAGTGGCAAATTTGATCTACTTGACAAATTCCATATATGGTACAAATTAACTAAAAGTTGTACTGAATGCTGGCAAAACTTCGCATGTGGTAGTGACGGAATTTGTTTAACGGAGCAATATCAGTTGTTATGATATATTTGCATTTTTTTTTTGAT